TGTGTGTGTGTGTGTGTGTGTGTGTGTGTGTGTTTATAGAATAGAACGAAAATATTTCTTGAGGAACTATTTTAAAAAAAAAAAATTTGTTTAATGAAGAGAATAGAACATTTTTACAAAAAAAAAGGAACGAACTATTCGCTTTTTTGTTTTTTTTTTTTTAAATTAAACGTATCAATTCTTTTAAATTGAATAAATTTCTTCAACTGTTCTCGTGGAATGTCGTTATTCCGGGTAAAGCGGAGCTTCCTGGTTGAGTTGAATAAAAAAGGAAAAATATTGTTATGCTTTCCTTTTTTTTTTTCGAAAAAAAGTTATTTTTCTCATTTTTCTGTTCAATCAACTTTAATTGCTATTTAATTATATTTCAGTGTATTAAATTTTTCACTAACGTTAACAATCGTTTTCCGTTCTCATTTTTGTTTTTTTTTGCTGTTTTTTTTTTTGATTTCAAAAAAAAAGCCTTTCTTTTTCATTGTTTTCAGAACTTGCCAAGCGATAAAATGATGGATTCACCACTGGAAAAAGCTCGACGAATATTCCATATTGAAAATCGTACTGTTGTTAATTGTTTATCTGAATTCTATGGTTCATTATTGCTACTGGTAATAACATTTGGAAATCTTTCTTTTTTCTTTCCATCTCATTTTTAATGAACAATTTAATTTGTTTTTATTTAGCCGTACAAGTTTGAACTAAAAATATTGATCATCAGTATGTGAAGCTTAATTTAATCAGCATTTTAAATTGAACTAAAGTTTTAGAACCAAATAAAAAATTAGAAAATGGAAATTCCATTGTTTTTCTCACCCTTAATTAGCTAAATTTGTGATTATTAGAGAGGAAAATTTAATTCCAATAGAATCTATTAGTTAAAACATTTAAAGTTTATTCATATTGAAGTAATTTGATTTAAGAAAAATGTTCATTTTCCCATACATATTTTATGCTTTAGTGAGCATAACCTCCATGCAATTTACTAATATTTTTCAACAATTAAATTGTCAAATGGATAAATTATTTATTTGAAAGAAATAGTAATCAGATGAATAAAACAAATTTTTGTTTTAATTAAAATTCTTAAAATTTTCAACAAAAAAATATAGTGGATAGGAGGAGAGAATTTTTTATTGCAAAAAATTTTGAAGATCTTGGTTTAAAAAAAAAAAAAAAGTTTTTTCGTTTTATTTTATTTGATTTTGATTTTGTTAGTTTATTATAATCAAATATAAAAATGAGGATTGATGCAGTACAGTAATAAGAATAACAATAACAATAACAATAGCAATAACAATAACAATAATAATATAATACTTGGTTTGACAATTTACTTATTTTGTTCTCATAAAAAGAATAGGCCTAATTAATTTAAGCTAAAGAGAAAAATGCAATAAAATTTTTATGTGACACTATAATAAACGAGCAAATTTTCTGTTTTGTAATTTAATTTCTTAAAACGTACTTGTTAGTTAGTTGTTGAAACAAACAAACAAAAAAAAAAAAGAATCACATTCAAATAATAAATTCAATTCTTTCAATGGAAAAATAAATTATGATTTTGAATTTTAATGTTAGTAAACTAAATTTAGAAACAATATTTTAGTTTATCGGTATTAGTATAGTGCATCAATTCGATTTATCGCATGGACGATTGAATACATGGATGCAAATCAATCTTGGATGGGGATTTACGATTATGTTATGTGTGTACACCTGCTCTAAAACATCAGGTATCATATTAACATGAACTGTTTTTTTTTCTTTTAAATTACAACGAAGAAGAATTTGAAAATTTTGGAAAGTTCCACGAAATGACACAATATTGATAGGATCAATACTTAGTTAAATTTTGAATTACTTTCAAAAATTTCATACAAATTGTTATTTAAAATTTTAGACTTTAATACAATTAAAATTTCATACAAGCTATCTGAAATCATTATTTGAAATGAAATTTAGTATAAAAATTTTATGAGAAATATTTACATTTCCAATGAATAATGTTTATTTGTTGATAGCACTTTTATGCTCACTAAAAAATATCTTTCTCGAATTTTTTTTTTCAATCAAATTTATAAAGAAATATATTTTAGTGTTCTTTTTTTCAGTAAAAAAATTTTTTAAATATTTCTAAATTAATGAATAATATATTTTAAGGAGGGCATTTGAATCCAGCAATTTCGCTTATGTTTTACACTCTTGGGAAACTGCCTCTTTCACATGTTTTCTACTACAGCATCGCGCAAATTCTTGGCGCTTTTATTGGCACAGCATTTGCATATACTGTCTATTTAGGTATTATTT